TATTCATCGATCTCTTTGTTTGGTGGGTAAATCGTTTCCTTCTTCTTTTTCGTTTTATTTTCTCAACATCAGAACTATAATCTCTCATTTATCTCGCAATGCAAAGTTCTCGACCTTTTCTACTTATACATCCTCTAGATAATCTCTCTGATAATCCTAAAATTTGCATTGGAGATTATAAATAGCACCAAGTTTATGTGAGAGATGAAGATTTTATCTTGGTTGAGTAGATGCAGAACATAGAAAGAAAGGGGAATGCTACCGGAGAAAAGACTAATTAGGGTTTAGCAACCATGTGATGTGGGATTAAGGAGCGTAATTTTTGGAGAGTTTTTCAAGATTTTATAGAGAAATTCCCAAGAGCTTCTAAAAGATGGGGACTTTTTACTTTCCCTTTTGTTCCTTGTCTTCATGTTTAGTTCCTTGTTATCTGCGTCCTTGTCCTTCTAATGGTTCTTCTTTGTTCTTCCCTTCCTCAACAGTCTTGCTCGGGTTTGTTGATGAATGAGATAAGTTAGTGTAAAACGTTGTAGTGCTTGTTTCTCACTTCCAGTTTTTGGTTTCAGGTTCTTGTGTAGCCAGAGAACATGTCGGTTCTTATTATGACAAGTCTTGGGGATATAGTGATTGATTTGTACTCAAACAAATGCCCTTTGACCTGCAAGAACTTCCTCAAGCTTTGCAAGTAAGTCTTTATTTGCATATCTAGCTTAAGAAGCAATTATATCGTATTCACTCTTAAGTTGTTTTAACTTACTTTTCTGTTGTTAGGATCAAGTACTATAATGGGTGCCTTTTCCACACTGTCCAGAAAGATTTCACAGCACAGACGGGTGATCCAACTGGCACGGGAGTTGGGGGAGATTCAATCTACAAGTAAGATATCATTTTCTTACTTTCTAATGATATGTATACTGCTAATCATTCTTTACCTTTTGAATCATTACTCTGTGTTGCCTAGTGTGCTGCTTTGTCACATCCTTTTTTGTGTTTTTACTGTCAGATTACCTGATCCATATCGTGCTTGTTATGTTGAATTTCCAGATTTCTGTACGGTGAGCAGGCTCGGTTTTTTGGCGATGAGATTCATCTCGATTTAAAACATTCAAAGACTGGGACTGTTGCAATGGCCAGTGGTGGAGAAAATCTCAATGCTTCACAGGTAAGAGCCAAACCATTTTCTTTGAATGACCAAGTTTATGTTCTCAGAATAAATATCAGTGCTATGTGGATTAACTTTTGTGGTGTGGTATGTCCTCATGTGACTTGTCTGTTTTCTTTTCAGTTCTATTTCACACTTCGTGATGATCTGGATTATCTTGATGGGAAACACACTGTAAGCACAAATTTATTCCTTATAGACCAATTACTATGCTTTCTTTTGTACATATCAGTTACTTATAATATGCCATTTTTCAGGTGTTTGGGGAGATTGCCGAGGGATTTGACACTTTGACTAGGATAAATGAAGCTTATGTTGATGCAAAAAACAGACCATATAAAAACATTAGAATCAAGCACACATATATTCTTGAAGATCCCTTTGATGATCCCCCACAACTGTCTGACATGATACCAGATGCTTCCCCCATAGGAAAACCAAAGGAAGAGGTCAAAGATGACGTACGACTTGAAGATGATTGGGTTCCAATGGATGAAGAACTTGGTGCTCAGGAATTGGAGGAGGTTATCCGTGAAAAAGCTGCCCATTCTAGTGCTGTTGTACTTGAAAGTGTAAGTGTTCCGGACTCACTCAGTTGTATTATAGCTATATTGATGTTATATCAATCACGTTTAACTCCTGAGCTTGTATTGCTGTTTCAGATAGGAGATATTCCAGAGGCCGAGGTAAAGCCGCCTGACAATGTGCTGTTCGTCTGCAAACTTAATCCTGTGACTGAGGTAGGTGCTTGATATCTAAAACTAAAAGCAAAGTCTTCCTGTATCTGTATCACTGTATGTGTAACAGTTTGTTCTTTTTCTCTCGTCCCATGTAGGATGAGGACCTCCATACCATTTTTTCACGCTTCGGAAATGTCATATCGTGAGTGATATATCCTTTATTCTTTACTTGTTTGGGAAACTCAGTTGTTCTGCGGTTGTATTTATCTTCATGTCCGAATATGGCAGGGCTGATGTAATCCGGGATTTCAAGACAGGTGACAGTTTGTGCTACGCTTTTATAGGTGAGTAGAATCTATGTCTGCTTTATGGTTACTGTTGGAAAATCTAGGTTTTTCTATATAAATTCGTGTTTGTTGAGAGTTTGTCTCTGTTTTAGAGTTTGAGGACAAGGAGGCATGCGAACAAGCGTACTTTAAGGTAAACATCGAATGGCTAGCAAGTATACATAGTACCATAGTTAAGATGTGAAATGGATTATTTGGAGGTTTAACCAATTTGTTTCTTTACAGATGGACAATGCTCTGATCGATGATAGAAGAATACATGTGGATTTCAGTCAGAGTGTATCTAAACTTTGGTCACAGTTCCGGCAGAAAGACTCACAGAAGGGTAAAGGTAAATGATTTTTTCCTCCCTATCGAGTATTAATGCCATAGACCAAACAACGATACAAATCCTTGGCAAAATATGGAACTCTGAGAAACTAATCGGTACTTGTCTGCAAAATGGTTACAGGGAATGGATGTTTCAAATGTGGCTCGACAGACCATGTTGCCAAGGACTGTGTGGGTGGTAATCAGCCTTCGAAGTTCATTGTTAAAGATCAAAACAGACAGCACGGGGGAGGTGAAGGATATGATATGGTCTTTGAGGGTGATATAGCTACAAGTCCCAAGAGGGAGAAGAGAGAGCTTAGTCATGACAAGGAGAAGATATGTAGGAGAAGTCCACATGGTTATGGTGAGAAAAGACTACACAGAGATGATCGTGACACTGAGGACAAGGCAGATGATAAGTACAACGGTAGAAGACATCATCGGGAAGAGGTAAGAGATAAAGAGAGGAGGTACGATGATGGGGTGAGTAGGGAGAAGAAACACAGAGGGAGTAACGAAAGAGACAGTTGG